CTCCCAATTGTGTTCCTGCGTTGTCACCTAGGCTTCCAATGGGCCTACAAGCAGCCACGAGGAACCTCACCCTGAGAAGCGCCATGAAGTTGTCACCTAGGCTTCCAACGGGGCCTACAAGCAGCCACGAGGAACCTCACCCTGAGAAACGCCATGAAGTTGTCACCTACGCTTCCAATGGGGCCTACAAGCAGCCACGAGGAACCTCACCCTGAGAAACGCCATGAAGTTGTCACCTAGGCTTCCAATGGGCCCTACAAGCAGCCACGAGGAACCTCACCCTGAGAAACGCCATGAAGTTGTCACCTAGGCTTCCAACGGGGCCTACAAGCAGCCACGAGGAACCTCACCCTGAGAAGCGCCATGAAGTTGTCACCTAGGCTTCCAGCGGGGCCTACAAGCAGCCACGAGGAACCTCACCCTGAAAAACGCCATGAAGTTGTCACCTAGGCTTCCAACGGGGCCTACAAGCAGCCACGAGGGACCTCACCCTGAGAAACGCCATGAAGTTGTCACCTAGGCTTCCAACGGGGCCTACAAGCAGCCACGAGGAACCTCACCCTGAGAAACGCCATGAAGTTGTCACTTAGGCTTCCAACGGGGCCTACAAGCAGCCACGAGGACCTCACCCTGAGAAACGCCATGAAGTTGTCACCTAGGCTTCCAACGGGCCTACAAGCAGCCACAAGGAACCTCATCCTGAGAAACGCCATGAAGTTGTCACCTAGGCTTCCAACGGGGCCTACAAGCAGCCACGAGGACCTCACCCTGAGAAACGCCATGAAGTTGTCACCTAGGCTTCCAACGGGGCCTACAAGCAGCCACGAGGAACCTCACCCTGAGAAGCGCCATGAAGTTGTCACCTAGGCTTCCAACGGGGCCTACAAGCAGCCACGAGGAACCTCACCCTGAAAACGCCATGAAGTTGTCACCTAGGCTTCCAACGGGGCCTACAAGCAGCCACGAGGAACCTCACCCTGAGAAACGCCATGAAGTTGTCACCTAGGCTTCCAACGGGACCTACAAGCAGCCACGAGGAACCTCACCCTGAGAAACGCCATGAAGTTGTCACCTAGGCTTCCAACGGGGCCTACAAGCAGCCACGAGGAACCTCACCCTGAGAAACGCCATGAAGTTGTCGCCTAGGCTTCCAACGGGGCCTACAAGCAGCCACGAGGAACCTCACCCTGAGAAACGCCATGAAGTTGTCACCTAGGCTTCCAACGGGCCCTACAAGCAGCCACGAGGAACCTCACCCTGAGAAACGCCATGAAGTTGTCACCTAGGCTTCCAACGGGGCCTACAAGCAGCCACGAGGAACCTCATCCTGAGAAACGCCATGAAGTTGTCACCTAGGCTTCCAACGGGGCCTACAAGCAGCCACGAGGAACCTCACCCTGAGAAGCGCCATGAAGTTGTCACCTAGGCTCCAACGGGGCCTACAAGCAACGGGACCTCTACAAGCCATGAAGTTGTCACCACGACGGGACCTACAAGCAGACCACGAGGGACCTCACCCTGAGAAACGCCATGATGTTGTCACCGCTTGACCTACAAGCAGCCCGAGGAACCTCACCCTGAGAACCGCCATGAAGCTGTCGCTGGAGGACATGCAGACGAGAAGCAGCTATAAAGAGGCAGCACTGAGATGCAACAAAGGATGAAAAAAAAAAAAAAATTAAAAAGAAAAAATATTTTCACCCGTGCGCAGAGCAAGCCAGATGCGAGCGCAGCTCTACCTCCGTGTTCCATGCCTCCCGTGAAGTCCAAGGCTGCCGAACAATATTCCTTCCCTCACCCCCGTCATTGAAGAGCCTCCAGAAGTGGTAGAAAAAAAAACGATTTCCATCTTTCAATAACACTTAGGAGGCCCCCGGGGCCCGTCATTAAAAAGAAAATGAAAGGAATCCCTTTTTCCATTTTTTTTTTTTTCCTGCCGGGCACTCTAATTGGTCTATACTCAGCGGGAGCGGCGGTGGCCCCTGCTGGGCACCCGAACTCTGGCCTTCCCCCGCTCTTCGTGGCTCTGAAGAGAAGAGTTCTATACCTTGAAGACCTCCATGACCTCCTCCCAGCAAGCCCTCCTAGATGTGAGCCGTTCGGCTAAAAAAGAATTCCCGGATGTGAGAAGTCAGTTCTCCGTCCGCCAACTGCCACTTCTAGGAGGAGGCCATAGACCGGCACGTTGCTTCAGCTCCATGGGAAGGTAAAAAATAAATTCGATGTCCCCAAATCGAACAAGTAGTGGCATTTGTGGGGACATCGTTTCTTTTTCTTCTTGATTTCTAGGACGGTTTGTCCGAAAACCTCATTACAGAAAGTTATGGACCAAGCTTGTGCAATGTGTGTTGAAATGGTCAATTGTAGTCTCTACTGGCAATCCCTACTAACGCGTTTCGTCAGCCAGCCTTCATCAGAGCTATGCTTTTGACAGAATTTCGATGGTAACAACAGTGGACCAAGCTTGTGAAATGTATGTTGAAATGGTCAAATTTAGTCTGTATTGGCAAGCCCACACGATGCGTTTCGTCAGCCGGGCTTCATCAGAGGAATATTTTTTTCCTAAATTGTAGAGAAGACGCACCTTGCAGTCTTGCTCATCCTGACGGTAACAACAGCAGGCCAATCTTGTGTAATGCGTGTTGAAATGGCGGACTGTAGTCTCTGTTGGCAAACCCAACTGACGCATTTCGTCACCCGGACTTCATCAGAGCCATGCTTTCGCCAGAATTTCGGAGAAAACAAACCTCTCAGTCTTGTTCATCCTGATGGTGACCACGGTGGACCACGTCTGTGTATTATGTGTTGAAATAGCCAATTTTAGTCTGTATTGGCAAGCCCATACCGATGCGTTTCGTCAGCCGGGCTTCATCAGAGGCATGCTTTTTGCCAAAATTGTAGAGAAGACGCACCTTGCAGTCTTGCTCATCCTGATGGTAACACCAGTGGGCCAATCTTATGTAATGCGTATTGAAATGGCCAACCGTAGTCTCTGTTGGCAAACCCAACTGACGCATTTTGTCACCCGGACTTCATCAGGGAATGCTTTTTGGCAAAATTGTAAAGAAGACGCACCTTGCAGTCTTGCTCATCCTGACGGTAACAACAGCGGGCCAAGCTTGTGTAATGCGTATTGAAATGGCCAACCGTAGTCTCTGTTGGCAAACCCAACTGACGCATTTTGTGACTTCATCAGGGGAATGCTTTTTGCAAAATTGTAAAGAAACGCACCTTGCAGTCTTGTCATCCTGATGGTAACAACAGTGTGCCAATCTTGTGTAATGCGTATTGAAATGGCTGACCGTAGTCTCTGTTGGCAAACCCATCTGACGCATTTCGTCACCCGGACTTCATCAGAGCCATGCTTTCGCCTGAATTTTGGAGAAAACAAACCTCTCAGTCTTGTTCATCCTGATGGTGACCACAGTGGACCACGTCTGTTTATTATGTGTTGAAATGGCCAATTTTAGTCTGTTATGGCAAGCCCATACCGATGCATTTCGTCAGCTGGCCTTCATCAGGGGTATGCTTTTTGTCAAAATTGTAGAGAAGACGCACCTTGCAGTCTTGCTCATCCTGATGGTAACAGCAGTGGGCCAATCTTATGTAATGTGTGATGAAATGGCCGACCGTAGTCTCTGTTGGCAAACCCAACTGACGCATTTCGTCACCCGGACTTCATCAGGGACATGCTTTTGCCAAAATTGTAGAGAAGACGCACCTTGCAGTCTTTCTCATCTTGACGGTAACAACAGCGGGTCAAGCTTGTGTAATGCGTGTTGAAATGGCCGACCGTAGTCTCTGTTGGCAAACCCAAACTGACGCACATGAGCAAGAGATTTCGTCACCCGGACTTCATCAGGGACATGCTTTTGCCAAAATTTGACAAAATTTTGCTCATCCTTACTAAATAATAAATAGGTGTCACTTCACCAAATTAACTGACTTTTTTTGCCACTCTTCGTAGCTCTCTGATATTCTCATCACTTTACAGATTCATGATTGGTTTGATATTCAGTGCCGGCCCCCGATAATGAGACGGTTCAGATGAGACCATCAGGTTTATTTATTCCTTGTTTTTCTTTACAATCATCAATCTCAAGCTTGGCCGGCTTTTTATTTCCCCCTCTCTGGCCTCCTCGGGACGCCGTCAATCAATTGATTTCTTTCCTAATGGAGGAGGTCGTCTTCTGAGTCAGGAGGAAGCGGCGCTCTAATTCCCGCTCTTCATCAAGCGCACATTAGAGGATCTTCAAAGAGAGTTTGTCTGGACTGCAGAATTAAATGGCAACTAAAAAAAAGTAACAACAGGAAATCCTTTGAAACTTTAACAAACCAACCGCAGAGCCGCCATCATTCCAATAATACAGGATACATAGAATGAGGCCCTCTATAGCAGTGGTGGCCGACTCTGTCCATATGAGAAGCTCCTCCCCCCCCCCGACATCACCAAAGGGATGCACATAAAATTCAGTGAAATTTCAATATCAGAGACTGCAGACACACAACAGGATAGAGTCAAAGACTGTGGGCATGATACAAGAGAGGGTCAGAGACTAAGGACATACTACAGGTGAGGGTCAGAGACTGCAGACATACTACAGGTGAGGGTCAGAGACTGCAGACATGACTACAGGAGGGTCAGAGACTACTACAGGAGATGGTCAGAGACTGTAGACATCCTACATGGGAGACTGGATACAAGAGATGGTCAGAGACTGCGGACATGATACAAGAGATGGTCAGAGACTGCGGATATGATACAAGCGATGGTCAGAGACTGCAGACATGAGAGATGATCAGGCAGATGGTCAGAGACTGATAGAAGAGACATGATACAAGAGATGGTCAGAGACTGACATACAGGAGATGGTCAGAGACAGGAGATTTCAGAGACTGCAGACATAGCACAGGAGAGATGGTCAGAGACTGCAGACAGAGACTGCAGACATACATCATGATACAAAAGATGGTCAGAGACTGCAGACATAATACAAAAGATGGTCAGAGACTGCAGACATGATACAGAAGATGGTCAGAGACTGCAGACATATACAGAGACGGTCAGAGACTGCAGACATGATACCAGAGATGGTCAGAGACTGCAGACATGATACAGGAGATGGTCAGAGACTGCAGACATGATACAGGAGATGGTCAGAGACTGCAGACATGATACAGGAGATGGTCAGAGACTGCAGACATAATACAGGAGATGGTCAGAGACTGCAGACATGATACAAGAGATGGTCAGAGTCTGATGGTCAGAGATGGTCAGAGACTGCAGACATGGTACAGGAGATGGTCAGAGACTGCAGACATGATACCAGAGATGGTCAGAGACTGCAGACATGATACCAGAGATGGTCAGAGACTGCAGACATGATACAAGAGATGGTCAGAGACTAAGACATGATACAAGGGATGGTCAGAGACTGAGGACATGATACCAGAGATGGTCAGAGACTGAAGACATGATACAGGAGATGGTCAGAGACTGCAGACATGATACAGGAGATGGTCAGAGACTGCAGACATGATACAGGAGATGGTCAGAGACTGCAGACATACTACAGGAGATGGTCAGAGACTGAAGACATGATACCAGAGATGGTCAGAGACTGAAGACATGATACCAGAGATGGTCAGAGACTGAGGACATGATACCAGAGATGGTCAGAGACTGTGAGCACACTATACAAGTTGTTGCTGATTGGGGACACGCTTCAGGAAACATGTTACATGTTGGAGGACAGGTTTAAGTCCCGTGTCCGGCTTTCTCCACATTCCATGGTTGGTGTGAAGGGCAGGAAAAGCCGTTGATGTAAAAGTGAAATCTAATTCCGGCCCCCCAACGTTCTCCCTCCTGGCCCCCCCGGTACAGGCGTCCCAGGACACGGTCCCTCTCTCCCCACCCGCGGTCCATCGCTGAGGTTGCCCCCATAATCAGTTCCTGTTGTTGGCTGGCGCTCCTCTGCGCTGGATTTCATAAAGATCGGTTTTCTTGTTTGCTGCTTTCCCTGAACCGCAGATTGTGACGTCCCGTAAATTGGGGTGGAAAAGTCCGAAATATGGAGACCATCAAATAAACACTGATTATTCCCCGACGAGGACTCTGCCTTCAGTCTGAGGAACATCTGACCTCTTCAGCCACCGGAGACCTGTGTGCAAGAAATCCCAGCTTATCAAGGCTGGAGAGGTCCCCGCATCGGTCACAGTGGATGGGAAATGCGAGGAAATCACATCTGCGGCTTCTCGTGATGTAATACAGTCCAGGTCTGCAATGTTTTAGCTCCGGACTGCGCCATCTTTCTTCAGGCATCATCCAGGGTTTCAGGTCCATATTCTGGGCTGAGATACCAGCTCAGAGATGACAAAATCACAAATGTCTGACACAGATCAGCCCCTGCTACAGGCTTTCATTTTGTGACTTGCTACAAAGTTACAGTGTACAGTACGATCACTGGGGGAGGGGAGACTGAGGAAATGCCTCCTCCTCCTTCTACAAAGTTACAATGTACAGTCTGATCACTGGGGGAGGGGAGACTGAGGAAATGACTCCTCCTCCTTCTACAAAGTTACAGTGTACAGTACGATCACTGGGGGAGGAGACTTAGGAAATGTACTCCTCCCCCTTCTACAATGTACAGATCTGATCACTGGGGGAGGGGAGAGACTAAGGAAATGCCTCCTCCCTCCTTCTACAAAGTTACAATGTACAGTCTGATCACTGGGGGAGGAGACTCAGGAAATGACTCCTCCTCCTTCTACAAAGTTACAATGTACGGTCTGATCACTGGGGGAGGAGACTGAGGAAATGCCTCCTCCCCTTCTACAAAGTTACAATGTACAGTCTGATCACTGGGGGAGGAGACTGAGGAAATGACTCCTCCCCCTTCTACAATGTACAGTCTGATCACTGGGGGAGGAGAGACTAAGGAAATGCCTCCTCCTCCTTCTACAAAGTTACAATGTACGGTCTGATCACTGGGGGGAGGAGACTGAGGAAATGACTCCTCCTCCTTCTACAAAGTTACAATGTACAGTCTGATCACTGGGGGAGGAGACTCAGGAAATGACTCCTCCCCCTTCTACAAAGCTACAATGTACGGTTCTGATCACTGGGGGAGGAGAGACTGAGGAAATGCCTCCTCCCCCTTCTACAAAGTTACAATGTACAGTCTGATCACTGGGGGAGGAGACTGAGGAAATGACTCCTCCTCCTTCTACAAAGTTACAATGTACAGTCTGATCACTGGGGGAGGAGACTGAGGAAATGCCTCCTCCTCCTTCTACAAAGTTACAATGTACAGTCTGATCACTGGGGGAGGGGAGACTGAGGAGATGACTCCTCCTCCTTCTACAAAGTTACAATGTACAGTACAATCACTGGGGGAGGGGAGACTGAGAAAATGCTTCCTCCTGTCTGCAGAAGACTGATGACATCATCTCAGCCTAGGCAAAGTCACTTGGGGAAAAGAGACTGAGAAAATTCTCCCTCGTGCCTGCAGCAGACTGACAGCATCACCTCAGTCTGGGCAAAGTCACGAGTGGAGGGGGAACTGAGAAAATGCTTCCTCTTGCCTGCAGCAGACTACCAACATCATCTCAGCCAGGGCAAAGTCATTAGGGGAAGGGAGACTGAGGAAAATCTTCTTCTTGCCTGCAGCAGACTGACAGCATCACCTCAATCTGGGTAAAGTCAGTAGGGGAGGGGGAAACTGAGGAAAGTCTTCTTCTTGCCTGCAGCAGACTGACAGCATCACCTCAATCTGGGTAAAGTCACTAGAGGAGGGGAGACTGAGGAAATCTTCCTCCTGCCTGCAGCAGATTGACAGCATCACCGCACTCTGGGCAAAGGCACAAGTGGAGGGGGAACTGAGGAAATGCTTCCTCTTGCCTGCAGCAGGCTACCAACATCATCTCAGCCAGGGCAAAGTCAGTAGTGGAGGGGCTACTGGGGAAATGCTTCCTCCTGCCTGCAGCAGACTGACAGCATCACCTCAGTCTGGGCAAAGGCACTGATCGGAGCTCACAAATGGGTGTAATATATATATAATAGTATTATAGTATATATTACCCACTCTTGAGCTCCAATCAGTGTATATATATATATTTATATGCGAAAAGTGTCTAAAAAATATATTATAAAAAAAAGCTTAAAAATATATCTAATGCGAGAAGGGGGAGAAAGAGTTAATTAAATTAATTAATTAACTGATTCAGGTTATATATATATATATATATGTATTGAAAAGATGCATAAAAATATATTATTTGAAAAAAATACTGAAAAATATAGCTAAAGGGAGAGAGAGAAGAAGGAGTTAATTAGGACAGATTAGGGTTTTTTTCGTTTTATATATATATATATATATATCTAAATGCATAAAAAATGTATTATTTTTTAAAAATCCTGAAAAGTATCCTATAAAAGTAAGAGATGAAAGGGAAGAAGGAGTTAATTAGGACTGATTAGGGTTTTTTATATATATATAAATGATGCAGAAAAAAAATTATTATTTTCTAAAAATCCTGAAAAATATAGCTAAGGGGAGAAAGAGAAGAAGGAGTTAATTAGGACTGATTAGGGTTTTATATATGTTTTTTTATATATATATATATATGTATATATATATATATATATAATATATATATTTTTTATATTTAATAAATACATATATATATATATTTTTTTTTTTAATATATATATATATATAAACGATGCATAAAAATCCATTATTTTTTTAAAAAAATCCTGAAAAATATAGCCAAGGGGAGAAAGGGAGGGAGGAGTCAATTAGGACTGATCAGGGATATATATATATATATATATAGAGAGAGAGAGAGAGAGAGAGAGAGAGGGAGAGAAAAAAAACAATGCATAAAAAATCTATTATTTAAAAATTTTTTTTGAAAAATATAGCTAAGGGGAGAGAAAGAGAAGAAGGAGTTAATTAGGACTGATTAGGGTTTTATATATGTTTTTATATATATATACATTATATATATATATATATACATATATATATATATATATATATATTTTTTTTTTTATATGTTTTTATATATATATATATATTATATATATATATATATATATATATATATATATATATATATATATATATATATAAACGATGCATAAAAATCTATTATTTTTAAAAAATCCTGAAAAATATAGCTAAGGGGAGAAAGGGAAGAAGGAGTTAATTAGGACTGATTAGGGTTTTATATATTTTTTTTATATATATACAGTCATGGCCGAATATTGTTACCCTTATATTTTCTCCAGGAAATCATGTTTTTCTCACGAAACGTTTAATTGTTTAATATATGTTTTGCTATACACATATTTATTCCCTTTGTGTGTATTGGGACAAAAACAAAAAAAGGGAGGAAAGAAAAAATTCGACATAAGTCACACAAACCTCCAAAAATGGGCTGGACAAAAAGTATTGGCACCCTTTCACAACTGCGGATAAATAAGAATGTTACAAGCATGTGATGCTCCTGTAAACTCACCTGGGGCAAGTAACAGGTGTGGGCAATATAGAAATCACACCTGAAAGCAGATAAAAAGGAGAGACGTTCACTTAACCTTTGCATTGTATGTATGTCTGTGCCACACTAAGCATGGACAACAGAAAGAGGAGACGAGAACTGTTTTAGGACCTGAGAACCAAAATTGTGGCAAAATATCAACAATCTCAAGGTTACAAGTCCATTCCAGAGAACTAGATTTGCCTTTTTCCACAGTGCGCAACATTATCAAGAAGTTTTGCAACCCATGGCACTTTAGCTAATCTCCCTGGTCGTGGACGGATGAGGAAAATTGATGAAAGTATTGCAACGCAGAATAGTTCGGATGGTGGAGAAAGCAGCCCCAATAATGTTCCAAAGACATTCAAGCTGTCCTGCAGGCTCAGGGAGCATCAGTGTCAGCGCGGCGATATATCCGTCGACATTTAAATGAAATGAAACGCTATGGCAGGAGACCCAGGAGGACCCCACTGCTGACACAGAGACATAAAAAAGCAAAGACTACAGTTTGCCAAAATGTACTTGAGTAAGCCAAAAGCCTTCTGGGAAAACGTCTTGTGGACAGATGTAGACCAAGATAGAGCTTTTCGGTAAAGCACATCATTCTACTGTTTACCGAAAACGGAATGAGGCCTACAAAGAACAAAACACAGTACCTACGGTAAAAATGGTGGAGGTTCAATGATGTTTTGGGGTTGTTTTGCTGCCTCTGGCACTGGGTGCCTTGACTGTGTGCAAGGCATCATGAAATCTGAGGATTACCAAAGGATTTTGGGTCGCACTGTAGGGCCCCAGTGTCAGAAAGCTGGGTTTGCGTCCAAGATCCTGGGTCTTCCA